GCGTGAGGAAGTCTCAGGCAAAACGGGTTGGTCCGGATCTGGTTGTTTTGTTACGGCCCGCTTTCCCTTGCCAAAAATAAGCTAAAGTGGACATTTCTTGTTCTAACATAACCAAACTTCAAGAATCCCTTGCAAAAAACAAGGTAAAGTGGACATTCGCGCGCGCAAGACGAAATCCTTCCAAAACCTTAGTTTTCGTAGCGATTTTAACATAAGAACATTTTTTTTTTTATTTTTTTTTTCAAACAAAAAAAAAGAAAAAATCATCCCGCGCGCTCTTGCGGATTCGTAGGAAACCCAACATTTTTTAAACATTTCTGTCAAACGGGTTTTTGCGAGCAACTTTTTCGAACTTCTGCAACAACGGTTGCGCACCTGCCAGGGCCATCATCCCTGTCAAATAATACCATGCGGGACACATTCGTTTTTTCTTCGCGCGCGCACGCCGTCGTCGTCGGCCGCGGGGCCCTGAATAGTAGCCACGGTCGTCCGCATGCCACGAAGTGAAGTGTCCGAACGTCATAGGGCGGGAAGCTGGGTGTGGGTGGTGGCGAAGAGTCGTTTGGAAATTTGGTAGAGCTTGAACCGGCCCCCCCACAAAGTGGGGGTATTGCCCGCCTCCTATGAAAACCCTGGCACTGGTGAGAACGGAGTGTCCCCACGTGCTAGTAATTGTTGTTGTTGTTGTTGTTGATGTTGTTGTTGTTGTTGTTGTTGTTGTTTGCTCACTTCTGAAGAATAGTTATTGTTGATCCCCCCTCACCGGTGCATACTGTTTTTCCCAGACAAACTGTGCCACTCGACGCTCGCACCTTGATTTTTGGCAGGGGAAGTCGTGGTGCTCAAAATGCGCCCTTGGCCCCCCGGACTACAACAACAACAACAACAACGGCTCCCGCCTGAGACTTCCTCCAAATTTACTCAGGACCCCCCCCCCTCCCGTCTGAGACCTCCTTTCAATTTACTCAGGAACGGCGCTCCCGTTTGAGATTCCGCCACAATTTAATCCGGGTCAAATTTTGTTGTTGCTCCCCAGGACTACGACAACAACGGCTCCCGCCTGAGTTCTCCTCCAACTTTACTCAAGAGCCCCGCTCCCGCCTGAGACTTCCTCCCAATTTACTCAGGATCGGCGCTCCCGCCTGTGACTTCCTCGCAATTGTGTCAGGACCCCCCCTTCCGTCTTAGGCGTACTCGCAATTTCCTCAAGAACGGCGCTCCCGCTTAAGATTTCCTCGCGCTTTAGTCTAGACCCCCGCTCCCGCCAGGCAGCCCCTTTTCAGGAATTGCGCTCTCGCCGGTGACTTTTTCGCGGTTGCCCAGCAATCGCGCTATCTACGCTCAGGCACCACGCTCGCGCTAAGGACGCCGTCGCATTTTACTTTGGAGTTGCGCTCTTGCCCGACAGTCGGGGCCCTGAAGAAGGAACCTTTTTCGTTGGGGAGGGGCTCCGCGTTCCTTAAGTGTTTCGCAGCTTGCCTCAGGCTTCCCCGATGTTCTCGACAGGAAATCGAAGGTAACTCATGGAAAAAAGGGGCCTCGTTCCTTATTTGGGGCTCCTTAGGTGAAGGCCCCGACTGTACTCAGGCGCCCCGCTTGAATGTCCCGCCCGCCCGACCCACCCGTCAGAGGATCGACGGGCCCGCCGTCAGAGGATGGCCCGGGCAGCACCGGAGGTGCTACGTGGCGCTGTTTATGGCGCGACCGGCCCACGGCGACCCCTTTTGTTGACCTGTGTTGGAAGGGCTGGCGCAGGCCATGGCGCAAGCTGAGTCGCAACGCGCGGCACACATCATCGTCGTCTCTCTCCCTTTTGCCCTTTTATTAATCCCTCCCTTCCTCCGATCCCTTCGCCCTCTCTTTTTGTATTTTCCCTTGCGTTTCCCTGGTTAGGGGCTTCTCCAAGTACACGTGGCCAGGAAGGAATACAACCCCCCAGCAGGGGGTACGATCGAAGACGGAGAGATCGGGTATCCAGGGTTCGGGATATGCATAGTGAATGGCACGCGGACCGGTAGGAGCAAACAGTCTTGGAATGATTGTTGTTGTTGTTGTTGATCTCTCATTCCGGAAGAATCATTATTTTTGGTCCCCCCGTCCGGTGCACATAGTTCTCGATTGAAGTGCCCTTCCCGGGGCTCGCACCCTGTTTTTTGATCAGGGGAAGTCTTGAGGGTTAAACTGTGTCGTTGGCCCCCGGGTTACAACAACAACAACAACAACAGCAACAACGGCTCCCGCCTGAGATTTCGTCACAATTTAGCCAGGACCCCCGCTCCCGCCCAAGAGTTCCTTCCATTGTATTCGGGAATCGCGCTCTCTCTTGGGACTTCCTTACAATTTATTCAGGAATCGCTCTGCCGGCGCTCTGGGGTCGCGCTCTCGCTGGAGACTTGCTTGCAGTCTACTGAAGAATAGCGTCGTTGCGGTGGAAACTCTTGCAATTTATTCAAGCGCCGCGCTCCCGACACCCATACACCCAGGAGTCGCGCTCACGTTTATGACTCCCTCACAGATTACCTAAGGCTCGGGATCTCGCTGCCCTTCGTAGCCCCGTTGCAGCCCTTCGTGGCCCCCTCGCTTCGTTTCGTGGCCCAGTTGCGGCCCTTCGTGGTCCCCTCGCTGCCCTTCGCGGCCCCGTTGCAGCCCCTCGTGGCCTCCTCGCTGCCCTTCGTGGCCCTGTTGCAGCCCTTCGTCGCCCCCTCGCTGTGTTTCGCGGCTCCGTTGTAGCCCTTCGTGGCCCCCTCGCTGCTCTTCGTGGCCCCGTCGCAGCCCTTCGTGGCCCCATAGGCATGCCCTTCGTGGCCCCGCTGTCGCCCTTCGTGGCCCCCTCGCCGCCCTTCGTGGCCCCATATATGTATGCCACTTCGTGGCCTCCGCTCGTTCGCGCCCGTGGTGGCCCCATATGCATGCCCTTCGTGGCCCCGCTGTCGCCATTCGTGGCCCCCATCGCTGCCCTTCGTGGCCCCGTTCCTGTCCTCAGTGGCCCCGTCCTTGCCCTCCGCGGCCCAGTATACGTATGCCCTTCGTGGCCCCCGTTCGTTCGCGCCCGTTGCGGTCCCATGTGCGTGCCCTTCGTGGCCCCGCTGTCGCCGTTTGTGGCCCCCTCGCTTCAGTGGCCCCGTCGTTGCCTTCTGTGGCCCCGCATGGTCTGCCCTTCGTGGCCCCCGATCGTTCGCGCCCGTCGTGGCCCCATGCGCATGCCCTTCGTGCCCCCGTTGCCGCCCTTCGTGGCCCCCTTCCTGCCCTTCGTGGCCCCGCTGTCGCCCTTCGTGGCCCCCTCTCTGCCCTTCGTGGCCCCGTTGCTGCCCTCAGTGGCCCCGTCCTTGCCCTCCGCGGCCCAGTATACGTATGCCCTTCGTGGCCCCCGCTCGTTCGCGCTCTTCGTGGCCTCATACGCATTCCCTTCGTGTCCCCGCTGTCGCCCTTCGTGGCCTACTTCGTGTCCTTGTGGCCCTGCTGTCGTTCTCTCTCGCTTTCGCTCGTCGTCGTCGTCGCCGTCGTCGACGTTGTCGCCGTCGTCGTCGACGTCGTCGTCGTCGTGGTCGGTCCCCTGTCCGTCCCTGTTGGGGTCGGGTCGACGGTCCGCGGCCGCCCCGCCGATCAGCGCTGGCGCTGGCCAGGCCGACGGTCCGCGGCCGCCCCGCCGCTTGCAGGGGCCCGGCCTGCAGGGAAGAAAGGTATACCCCCCAAAAGGGGTTCGATCGAAGACGAAGAGGGCGGGTATCGAGGGTTTGGGAAATACGCGTTATTGGACACTCGAGCAGATAAGGGCGAACAGTCTTAAACTGTTTGTTGTTGTTGTTGGTGTTGTTGTTGCTGTTGCTGTTGCTGTTGCTGTTGCTGTTGCTGTTGTTGTTGTTGGTGTTATTGTTGTTGGTGTTGTTGTTGTTGTTGGTGTTGTTGTTGTTGTTGCTGTTGTTGTTGTTGTTGATGTTAGGGCGCCGGCTTGGGCGCACCCCCGAAACGCTTGAGCGTGAGCCTCTATTTCAAAAGAAATGCAGTTGGCGCCGTGGCGGGAGCGCCAAAGCGCATATAGGGGGTCCAACAATGGTGATTGTCTAGTAATTCGTATTCAACAGCGCAACAACAATCTTCACAGCGGAAACCAACTTCAACCACCCGCACAGGGACAACTAATGACTCTGATTTATTATTTGTTATTTGGGTCCACCTGTGAGCCGTCTTCGGCGTGCCTTGGTCGCTGTGGCCCTTTCCGGGGCCTCGCGAAGCCGTTTTTGATCAGAGGAGCGAGAGAGGTCATGATAATGACCTGTTCCGACATGTCCAGAAAGTTCCCAGGAGTTCCCAAGTTCCCAAAAAGATCCCCACACGGACTAAGGGAAACGAGGGCCGCGAGATGTTTCGAAACAGACCTGAAACGCATCCTGAGCCGATTCTATCATGACTTGGTTCTCGTCCTACGTGAGGCCTCTGGATTCGCACTCTACCTGCAAGGAGGAAAAACTGGTCTACTCTGTAAGAACGGTTTTTTGAAGGCAGATCTGCTTTCAAAAGCTGCAAGGAGGAAAGACTGTTCTACTCTGTAAGAACGGTTTTTTTAAGGCAGATCTGCCTTCAAAAAACCGTTCTTACAGAGTAGAGCAATTTTTTGAAGGCAGATCTGCCTTCAAAAACCGTTCTTACAGGGTCCTCGTGGCCCCCTGGCGCCGCCCTTGCTGGAATCCCCGGGGCAGCCCGGAGCGGCCAGCGGGCCAAGGCACGCCCACCCTGGTGGCCTTTTGGAAAGGGCCGGGGGCGCCTCGGGCCCCCATGGCGACAAACAGGAAGGGGCCCAGGGAGGGACCAGGGAGGGACCAGGGAGGGACCAGGGAGGAGGATGTGGAGGAGGAGGAGGAGCAGCAGCAGGAGGAGCAGGAGGAGCTGGAGCAGGAGCTGGAGCAGGAGCAGGAGCAGGAGCAGGAGCAGAAGCAGGGATGAGGAGGAGGAGGCGGAGGAGGACTCCCCCTCCCTCCCCTCCCCTCTTCCCCTCCGCCCAGGTCGCGCAGATGGCCGCCGCACCCTCGCTGGCGGAGAGGGCGGGGCTGAGTCCAGGAGCTTTCGTCATCGTCGTCGTTGTCGCCGTCACCGTCGCTTTCGCTGTCGTCGCCTTCGCTTTCGCCGCCGCCGCCGTGGACGCTTTAGCCAATGTCGTCGTCGTCGCCGTCGTCGTCGTCGTCGTCGTCGTCGTCGTCGTCGCCGTGGACGCCGTCACCGTCGTCGCGCCGTCGCCGTTGCCGCTGGTTCGAGGATCGCGGTTTTCGAATGTTTTCCGCATTGTTCGGGTCTCGGCTGGGGACCTCCGGAGGCCTCCGCGACGGTGAAGTTCTCGAGGACATTCTCTGGTCGGTATTTTGAGCTGCGTCAGGACGTGGCGGCGAGAGGCCCCCGAGGGGCCCGCGGAAACGAGGAACGCGAGAGGCCGCCGCCGCCGAAGGAGCAAGAATGAGGAGGAGGCTCCCGAGCACGCTCACGGCCTCACCGGCTCGGGCGTCAGAGCAGCGAGCTTGACTCGGAGGAGGTCATCGTCATCGTCGGCATCGTTTTCGCCCCTCCGTCCTCGTCCCGATGCCCGCCCCGTCCAGAACCCCCGATCTGGTTTCACAGTTTGGACTCACGGTGGTCGCGGCCTTTTCCTTGTGCTCAGGTCTTCACCATGAACCGCTTCTTGCCAGTCCCAGAGCCCGGGGAGGGCCCCCAGAGCCCAAGAACGGCAAGAAGCACTCCGTCATGTGTTCGCTTGCTGCGAGAGGGTTATTTGGGGCACTTCCCTCGCTCTCCCCGTCATCCCTCCTTCCTTCTCTTCTTACCCCTGTTAGAGCACAGCCTTCTCAGCGTAGTAGCAGGTCATGAGGCCACCATTGTTGCACAGCGTTGCAGAAATAGCAAGGACTCAATGAGCTAGTTTTGGTTTGGGTCTCCTTTTCTTTCTCTTTCCCTTCTCATCTTCCGCCCTCCTTCCCCTCACTCCTTGCCCTCCTCCTCCTCTTCCTCCTGATTGTCCTCTATCTCTCTTGTCATGTCTGCCTGCCTGCCCCTTCTCCTCCTTATTCCGTCCCTTCCGCCCTCCTTTCTGTCTTCCTCCCGCTCTCCTTTCTGTTTCCCTTGTCTGCCCTGTAGTATGGTCCAGCTTGCCTCTATCGCAGTATATATATATATATACACATATATCCGTAAGGGCTTCGCCCCCTGCCGCCGGCCCCCTCTCTCGGAGAATGGGCCATGGAAGAGCTAAGTCATGAGGCCTTGGCGCTGTCGTGAAGCAAATTCGAAACTTCATGCGAAGCCGATTCGCAATCAGCAAAACCAACTGATCACAAGAGGGGTTACCACACCTGGCGATTGGTAAGACGTGTATGGTTTACGGGCTTGGTTACCACACCTTGCGATTAAAGGGCCGAGGGAGTTCTCGCAGTTTGGGTTACCACGCCTTGCGATGGATGTGCGTGAAGGGTGGCACCGAATTTCAGAAATGTGGCAAATCCCCTGTGTTTTTGGACCCTGACCCCGCGGATCTGCGTGAGGGGTGGCACCGAATTTCAGAAATGTGGCAAATCCCATGTGTTTTTGGACCCTGACCCCGCGGATCTGCGTGAGGGGTGGCACCGAATTTCAGAAATGTGGCAAATCCCATGTGTTTTTGGACCCTGACCCCGCGGATCTGCGTGAGGGGTGGCACCGAATTTCAGAAATGTGGCAAATCCCCTGTGTTTTGGACCCTGACCCCGCGGATCTGCGTGAGGGGTGGCACCGAATTTCAGAAATGTAGCAAATCCCCTGTGTTCTTGGACCCTGACCCCGCGGATCTGCGTGAGGGGCGGCACCGAATTTCAGAAATGTGGCAAATCCCCATTGTTTTTGGACCCTGACCCCGCGGATCTGCGTGAGGGGTGTCGATTTCGAGCCCCCCCAGCAATTCAGACAACGCGCCCAGGGGACGCTAAAGATCTGGTTTGGGCCTCCCCCCTCGCGCGGTCAATCAACTAGTTACAGTAACCAGCAATAAGTCAACTAGTTACAGTAACCAGCAATAAGCAGAACTGTAACACTGGAAACTACAACCTACGACTGGTACAGGAAACTGCGAATCACGGGCCTACAGCCTGGTGGCCCCACAAGGGGGCCGGCGGATATCGATATTGCGTGCACAATTTTATCATACTTTTCGCCATCAGGGAGGCCCCGCGGGAGGGCAGATCTTGAAACCAGGGGATGCCCGCCTTGCCCAGCTTCTCTGACGGCGCCCAGGCCTGGCCCCGCTGCTTCGAGAAGGATCGAGGACTCGTTTGCCCTCGTCCGCCTGCCCTCTTCTCTTTGGGTCACGTGCGCTCCTCCTCGTCCTCCTCCTCCTCCTCCTCCTCCTCCTCCTCCTCCTCCTCTCCTTGACATTCGCATCGGCAGGTCGATGGGCAGGTGGCGCCGGGCTCAGCGCTGTTTCAGCGGCCTGGTTTAATGAGATGACGGACTCATGTCGACGCTCCGCCTCTTCTTGACACTCGCAGACGTGACTTTTTCACTCCGTGGCCCCAGGGGTCCCCATGGCTTCCCTGGGGCTAGGTTTTCCTCCCGGATCCGTGCCTGATGGCCCCGTGGCCCTAAAATGGTTCCGAGGGTCGAAACCCACCGGAAAAACGCTTGGATTGGAAAAGCCATATACAGCCAAGACGCCGAAATAAGTAACAGTTTGGATTCGGAAGGGGCTCGATGTTCCTTACGTCCTTCCGCGGTTGTTCCTCTAGCCCTTCTCGTGTACCCAGGCTTTTTTGAAGCCACAGAGGGGCTTCGTTTCTTATTTAGCGTTCCTTCTTTCAGCAGCCCGACTGTATCGTCGGAGATCTGGGCCCCCCTCCTCCTCATCCTCCTCCTCCTCCTCCTCCTCCTCCTCCTCCTCCTCCTCCTCCTCCTCCTCCTCCTCCTCCTCCTCCTCCTCCTCCTCCCTCCTCCTCCTCCTCCTCCTCTCCCCCGCCCCCTCAGGACACGGGGCTCGCGGCGAAGCCCTCGGCAGCTTCCTCGGCGACGCCGGCTCCTCCGAGCCGGGCCCCAGCGGCGCGCCAGAGGCCGCCGCCGTTATCGCCGTTGGTCGCTGCCGCCGCCCATGCACGTCGCCTCCTGCCGCCGGGCCGCCGGGGGGAGGAGGGGGAGGAGGGGGGAGGGGGAGGAGGAGGAGGAGGAGGAGGAGGAGGAGGAGGAGGGAGGAGGAGGAGGAGGAGGAGGGGAGGAGGAGGAGGAGGAGGCGGAGGAGGCGGAGGAGGCGGAGGAGGAGGAGGAGGAGGAGGAGGAGGAGGAGGAGGAGGAGGGGGAGGAGGAGGAGGGAGGAGAGGAGGAGGAGGAGGAGGAGGAGGAGGAGGAGGAGGAGGAGGAGGAGGAGGAGGAGGAGGAGGGGGAGGAGGGGGACGCCGTCTTCGTCGGGCGGCCGAGAGGAAGAGTCTCGGGGAAGACGAAGGGGTGGCCCGGGGGGGGGGGTAAGCGGGGCGCGGTGTGAAGTCTGCCGCGCGCGGCCGCTTTCCGGCCCCGCCGCTGCGAGTTTTCTGCCCCTCGGTGCGCGGGGGCCAGCGGGGGCGAGCGGGGCCAGCCTTTGGCGCCCGAGGTTTGGGAAGCTGCCCGCTGTCCCCAGCACATCACCTTCCTCTCCTTCTTGCTCTCGACAGGGCGCGGGCGTGGGAGGGGATCGGGGGCGGAATGTTCATCAACATTCCCGCGCTGCGCATGCATGTGCTCCCGCTGGCCGGGCTCCTCGCAGTTGGAGGAGCTACGGCTGGTGAGCACGCTCTTCCTTGGTGCCCGAGGCTTGCTCCATGTCCGTCGTCGTCTACAGCGCTTGGCTGCTCAAGAGCCGCCCTGGCTATTCCCAGATCGAGTCGCCGCGTGGCGCCTGGTAGACAGACACTTCTGACATTCAGCGACACTCGCGCCGTAGAGTTAAGCTGACGGATGGTTCATTGATCTCGTGCCTGGCCGTCGTGTGTGGCGTGTTGAAGCTGCGCTCGGGCGTGTTGGCCCTGTGGTGCCCTCATGCGTATGGGCGGCGGCCCTGAAGGCCGCACTGAGCGCACGCGCTGCGTGCTGCTGCTTCGGCCGCACAACCGTACACTTCTATGCGACGGTCACGGCCACCAGTGCTTGGGTGCAGGCCATGACGGAGGCGGCCGGCAGGACCTCGCCGTTCATTCGGCCAGAAGCTTCACGTGGGAAGCCGTGGAGCGTTGTGTGCGTCGAGCGGCGCACAAGTTGGCGCTCGCACTTCGGGCGCCAGCCGGGCATCCTCGCAGCGGTGGCACTGAAAGCGCAGCATCCGAGTTGACTGCGCGAACGCAGGGCTGAGCAGGCCAGAGCGCGCCGCTCGCTCGATCGGGGCGTGACGACCAGCACTCGGGCGACCAGTGGCCGCCCAAGCCGCTTGGAAGCAATATGGTCGGAGGTCATGGAGGAAACGCCAGACCGACGCGAGGCGATCGAGGAAGAGGTCAGCAGCCCCTTGAATCGCAGTAGCAATTAGCACGTCAGTTTGTTAGTGTGTTAGTTTGTTGTGCGCTGTGAGTTGTTACCCGCTCAATACGCAGCTGAACTGAGGCGATGACGGTAGAAGAGGGAGGAGGGATAATGGAGGAGATACGATGTAATAGGGGAGAATCAGAAGGAAAGAGGGAAGTGGGTAGACAAGGGAGGGATGAAGCAGGGGCGGGAAACTGGAGAGATGAGTGGGAGGAAAGAGCATCTGCGATGGAGGAGGCAGGAGGGAGGATGACGGAAGCGGGAGGCAGGAGGGAGGTGGAACCAGGGAGGGGATTCAGGCTTTGAAGTGCAAAGGTCTGGACAGCTGCCTGCTTGCTTGCTGCTTTTCTCCTCAATCTGGTGAGGGTGCTGAGGCCCTTTGCTTACTTGCTGTTTTTCCGGCCTTCGCCTTGGTGCATCTATGGGCCTTTTGGAGCATCTTGAGGGGCGGTTCCGCCCACCCGAGGCTGTGCCGGGTTTCTGGTGGCCGTTGGGAGCAATGTCTGGAGGGTCTACTGCCGCCGACTCCCTTGCCCGAGGCATCAAGAATTTCAAAAGGGGGCATCGGGAGGGCAAGGCGGGCCTCGGCGAACCCTGGGGAGCTTCTGGAAGCCCTGGGGGGCATTCGGATCCTTGGGAGCCCTTGCGAGTCTCTGAGAGGCCCGAGGGAAGCCTCGAGGACTTGGACGGCTTCGTGGAACCAGGCCCGCCACCGTCCCTGGGTCGTGGGCAAGAGGTCTCTGTGGGACGGTCCCTGGGGCCTCTTAGAAGGCTCATCGAGAGCCTCCCTCATGAGGAGGGCCTCTAATGGCCCCGCGTGCTCCGGCCGCGCCAGGCGCGCCACGTGTGCGGCGCGCGCAGGATGTGCCAGGTACGCAGGTGCACGTGGCAGCACGCATCGGGGAGCATTTCGACTCCTCGACCATCCTTGTGAACATGCAAGGCAAAGAAGGCGGCGGGGTGGCCATCATGGTGTTCGGTGGACCTGCGCACAGAGGCAATATTCTGGCACCCCCACCGTCCGTGCGAAACAACTAAATACAAACCAGTCGTGGGGCGTCACGTCCCCCTTCAGGTCCTCTCCCTCATGTCACCTCCCCCTCCGCCTCCTCCCCCTCATCTCCTGCGTCTCCTCTCGCCTCCTTCTCCACTTCCTTTTCACTCCTTCTTTTCACCTCACCCGTCCACCTCCTCGTCAGTGCCCGCCCCAATCCCTCCGACCCTCATTGTTTCCATCCGTCGTCGTGCCGACGCGGCGGCCAACCCCAGCGCGGGCGTTCAAGGTTGACCGTGCCCTCGGGGCCCCTCTGGGTGCACAAGGGCTTACCGTAATGGGCCCACGGTGCGAAATCACTATCCAAGGATGGGTCGAGGACCTCCAGGTACTCCAGATGCGGACATCGTTCACTATTGCGTTGTGGTCTCTGGTGATCCGCTCCACTGCGCCCAGGCGATATAAGACGGTGTGGCGCTATGAGACGATAAGACGGTATAGTACGACAAGGTGACACAGCATGACCGATTACGACATAGCACGATACGGCTATTCGGGACTGAATAGTAGAATGGGGCGATGCAATACGATGATGTGCGACTTCGATTCGCCGCTTGACATCATAACGCATTGCCTTATATCCTATGATCGGCGTTTCGTCCTATGATCTGTTGTCTCGTCTCATACGGCCGTACCGTATTCGATGTTTTACACCAGACTGCCTACTTTGACTCCAGAGGCTTACGCCTTTCCGCTGGCCCCCAGAAGACGCAGGCGGTGGCGGTGATTAACACGGCCGGTGGACCCGCGACGGGGTGCTCTGCCATCGGAGGGCCAGCCCGGGTCCAAGCCCTGACCAGATTGTCCCGAAGCAGCAGGGCGCCGGGGCTCCGCGAGGAAGACCCACTCCTTGACCTGCTTGTTGCACTTGCCCTGCCCAAGGCCCTGCCAAACACGCCTGCCCCGTTCAGCGGGCGCTGACGGGCACGAGCCTGAAGAATAGAGACGGTAGCCCCGCCAGCGCCACAAGGGGCACACACACCACCCCCCGCCTCCCTCCCGCGGGCGTGAAAGGGAAAGCTCTGTGGGTGACGTGCCCTTCTCTTCTCAATACCGCGAGCGTAACGTCCGCACGACTCGACAGCTGCGACCATGGGAGAAGGAGGAACTCCTTGCAGCACTGGAACATCTGTCAGGGACCGCTTCACACTTCGAAACTGGCACATGCTCACAGCCAAGATGGGCCATCGGCGGCCCAAAAAACGCCGACCCAACCAACGAGAGAGCGTGCTGGCATTCTTGAACTGACTTTTGAATATCCCGCGATATCGGAGGGAGACTCTTGTGTACTCGGCGGCCTGCTTGTCATAACCTTCAGACAGCTGGTGGCCCATCTGACAACGTGAGGAAATACGGCCATCCATCACATCTTGTCGAATGGTGTGCCTTTTCCTCCCTCGGCCTCCCCAGAGATCCTGGCGTCTCATTTCTTTTCGAGCCAGGCGTTTCCGCATGATTTCGGGCCTGGGGCCCTCACAGATCGATCCGGCCCGAGAAATGCCGCAGTGGGTCTAGGGCGCCGGTCGTGCTTTTGTGCGCTGTTTCGATCGTTTCACGCCGTCAGATCTCAGGGTCCTCCCCTTTCCCCCATGCGCGACGACGACGACGGCAACGACTGCAAGAAATGGCTACGAACGGCTCCAGTTCAACAGCAAGGGGATGTACGGGCAGAGAACTCCGCTGCTGCCCCGCACGCCGCGCCCTCGCAGCGCCGTCCCCCCCTGTCGGGACGCACGCCGGCGCCTCGCCGCGCCTCGCCTCTAGGGGGCGACATGCGAACCCTACCCCCCCATGATTTCCGAGGGGGAGGGTGGGGTTCACTTCGCTCGGGAGCTCCCAGACGAAGTGAACCCCACCCTCCCCCTCAGAAATCGTCGGGGGTAGGGGTAGGGTTCGCGTGTGGCCCCCTCGCCTCGCCCCCCTCGGCGCCCCCGCGCCATGGCGGCCGACCCCTCCGAGCCTCCGGCCGGGGCCGCCCCGCGCGCGGCGCTGCGGCAGCTGGGGCGCCTCTACGGCGCCGCGGCGGCCGGCGCGCCCCCGCCGCTGTCGCTCTCGGGGCTGGCGGCGGAGCTCGGCGCCGAGGTGGCGCCCCCGCCCTCGGAGGCCGCCGGAGGGGCTCGAGACAGAGTGTCCTGGCAGAGGATCCGACCACAGGGGTGGACCTAAACGATGTTTTGGCGATTTCGTGGGCCGTTTTCGTTTCGATTTCGTTTTGCGTTAAGGGTGGATTGAAGACAAAACGAGGTAAAAACGAAAACAAATCGAAAACGAAAAACACCATTTAGGTCGGGCCCTGTCCGACCATATCGCGTCTTGAGTACCGCGCTGCGGGTACGGTCGGACCGAGGTAGAAGGTCGCGGTCGGTTCGGGGACGGTGCCCTGGTGTTCTTCGTGTTTGTTGGATGGTCTTGTGTACTCTAGGGGATGGTTCTTTCGAACGTTCTTCAGTTTGATCGGCGGAGGGTCTCGTGTTCTTGGAGGATGTTCGTCTGTCCTAGGTCTGGCCGTACCGCGTTGTCGGTACTGGTTTCGGTGGAGGTCCCTATGGGGCCGCGATCCTCGTGAGGGGTGTGCCGAAATGGGCGCGGTGCCGCCATGCGAACGCGGCCGCGGATGCTTTCGATAGAGCTCCCTATGGGACCACGATCCTTGCGAGGGATGTGCCGAAACGAGCGCGGTGCCGCCATGCGAACGCAGCCACTGTGGCCTTCGGTGGAGCTCCGTATGGGGCCACGATCCTCGCGAGACGTGCTCAAACGGATGCGGTACCGCCGAGCGAACGCAGCCACGTGGGCCTTCGGTGGACCTCCCATATGGGGCCAGGAAGCGCGTGAGGGGTGCGCCGACATGAGCGCGGTGCCGCCATGCGAAGGCAGCCACTGTGGCATTCGGTCGAGCTCCCTACGGGGCCACCAAGCGTGTGAGGGGTTAGACGAAACAGGGGCATGCGGAGGGCAGAGGCAGGGACGGGAGGAGGGAGGCGGGGGGGGAGGGCAGCGGGTGGGAGACGCGGGGCGCTGTCTCTTCGGAAGGAGGGCCCAACACCACAGGATGGTTGGGAATGACTGGGAGATTCAGCCCGCAGATGGTCAACGCGGTTTTTGTATTCCTCTACGGTCGGGAACTCTTGGTTAGCGTGTCGCTCTGATGGTTCTGGCCCAGCGCGCCTCGGCGCGACACGCTGTCCACGTTCTGGTGTCCGAGCGTCCACGTCCCGCGCTGTCTTTGGCCTCCCGCCCCGTGGAGCGGAGCGACGTGCTATCCGCTCGCAGGGCACAGCGTGTTGTCGGTGGCGCCGCCGCGACATGCTGAGCAGAAGTTCCCTAACGTTTCGAGGCCTCCCGGATGGGGTCGGAGCAGATGGGGTCAGAAGGTCGCGCCGCATCGCCGATGAATCGGCGATGTAGTTCGCTGTGGAGCCAGACCTTTTCCGCCTCGACGGCGCCTGTGCGTCGTCGATGCCGCTGGTGCATCGCCAGTGCATCAGCGATCCTCCTCCGACCCCACCCACTCTGACCCCATCCAGGAGACCTGTAGTGTGCGCCATGTCGCTTTCCTCAGGTCCAGGTGTTGCATGTTTTTCACACCAGGCGTTTTCGCCCAGTGTCGGGCCCCAGGACAGTCACAGATCGATGCGGCCCGAACAGTGCAGCAGAAAGATGGGTTCGGCGGGGCTTCTGGTCGTGATGGTTCGCCATGCTCATTTTTGTTCGCGGTGTCGGATCTCAGGGTTGGCCGGCCAAGGAGCCAAGGGACTCGGAGGAGGAGCTCGGTTTACACACGCTCCAGCATCTGACAGCTCGAGACGCTGGGGCCGCTATATCTATACATATATATATATGTGTATATATATATATATATATACACACCGAGCTCGTTGGCCAGACAAACGACGTGGTCTGTACAATGAGCCCGTCCCAGGCCGTGATCCTGGTGGTCGGGGACCCGGGGAGCGGGAAGAGCGCCTTCGTGAACGCGCTCGCCCAGGAGCAGCGGAGAAAACAACACGGCATAAGCATAAGCTTTCGGAGCTCCGCGAGGGCTTCTTGGATCGGCCTTGGGCCTCCCTGGCGGCGCCGCCGCCACTGGCGCGCTCCGCGCGTCAGGGGGGGGGGCCCAGCGCCGATCCAAGAACTCCACGCAGAGCTTCAAAAGTATATAGACACTGTCCGACATCTCGATCACATTGAGGATGCCATGGTCGGCGTTTTGGGGGAACGCGCCGACTTCGGCCTCACCTGGGGCCCCAGAGGAGCCCCAAACCCTGGTGTTCCTTCCCCCCCTCTCGCGCCCCTGCGAGCGGCGCCGATGTGAAGAACTTCTGCCCGCGCATGTGCTCACGCAATATGCGTTCCTCTAACCCAAACATCTGGCGTTTCGGCACTTTCGAGATATGGGTCCCCGACCTCTCGACCGCTTCCCCGGCGCCCGCCTTTCACACTGAGCAGCTGGTTGACGGCCCGAGGCCCGGCATGGGGCCCCGAGAGGCCGAAAGTGCGGCACACCTCCGTCAATCGACTTCTCCGCGACGCCTGACTTCTGCAGAAGGAGACCGCGCTGGCCGTGCCCAGCGCGGCGAGCGCTGGCCCGCGGCCGCCCGTCGAGTGGGTGCGCTCGGCGGCGGCGCCCGTGGGCGCCGTGCCGCGGCTGCTGGCCGAGGCCGCGGCGGCGTGCCCGGAGGCCCTGCCGGCCGGGCTGCTGGCGGCCTGCTGCGCGGTGCGCTCCGCCAGCCCGCGCCTCGACGCCGTGGAGATCGTGGAGGCTCCGATCGGTGAGACTCTGGGCTGCGCGCGGACAGGCCCCCTCAAACGACCCCTCGAGCATCAAGAGAAGAAGAAGCCACCCAGACCACGACAACTTTCGTTCACTAAACGGCCCTGGGCGTTAACTAAACAGCCCTGCCCTGCTCGATTCCTTGGGTGCGTTTACTACACGGCTTCGCTTGTCGGGGTGCTTATCATGGGGGTGGATTTGCTGTCCTCTAGAGTAGCCCAGCTGGCCTCAACACGCCCCCGAGTAGTCCAGGACGGTCTCAACACGCTGGTGCCGCCTCCGGCGGCGCCCCCGGGGCGCTCCGCGCCGCGCTTGGGGAGTTGAGACGACCGCCCTGGGCTTCTCGGCGTGTCTGCTGAGGCCAGCTGGGACTGCTCGGCGGGGCCTGTTGAGACCAGCTGACACTGCCGCGGGGGGAACCAATCCTCCTCCTCCTCCTCCTCCTCCTCCTCCTCCTCCTCCTCCTCCTCCTCCTCCTCCTCCTCCTCGTCCTCCCCCTCCTCCTCCCGCTTTTCCTCCTCCTCCTCCCCCTCCCCGTCCTCCTCCTCGAAGTCTTTCCAGCCAAGATGGTGAGGGAGCATGCACATCAATGGCACGCTGACGTTTTGGGAGCCCGTCAGCTTGCCACTCCTTCGCTGTCGTCCGGATACCTGGCAGTTCTCCAGCAGTGCCACGCTGATGGGTTCCCCCACGGTGGCGTGTCGCCGATGTTGCGCTTGCTTCCCAACCAGGGGAGGAATACGTGGGAACAGGTACCGATGCCGCTACCCAGCACCCTGGCCCCCTGGCCTCACGTTCGCATTCTGCTGGCCTCCCCTGGGAGGCCCTCGTTGCCCCGGCTGGATCCGCCTCGAGATCGTGGCCGGAACGCGCCCGGGGAGCAGCAGTATCGGTATCCCTTGACATCCGCCTACATGATGTGCCAATCCGTTTGACGCCTTTCGTGAGAGGAGTCTTTCGTCCCGGACCAGGGCCGTGGTTGATGGTCCTAGGCCCGGGCCCCGAATCAGGGAACGCAGGGGGGAAACCTGAGAGATCAGAGAATCGAGAGATCGAATTCATCGAGGAGGTTCGAGAGTCGGTGGCCTGGAAATTGGCATCAACACCAAGACAGTGGGTTGCCTCCACAGGGGGAAGGTGATCCTAGATTTTCGGTGTTGGTGGTAATAGTTCGGCCACCTTGGAAGCCAGAATATTGCCACCATCACCGAGATCGGGATCTTCTTCCCTGAATGGAGGCACACCGCCCAAATTGGTGTTGGTGTCAATCTCTAGGCCTGCGAGAGAGATCTGAGAGATCAGGGATCGAGAATCGATGCACATCATGCCGTCGGAGACCTGCGCCGTTCGGCTCTCCCAGAGGCGACGGCGCCAGGGGAGCCCGAGAGCGCCGCGGCGGTGGCCTGGTTGGCTGCGCGCGCAGACGTCGTGGTGTTCGGGGCATCCAAGATCTGGGCCTCCTCCTTTTCCTCCTCCTCCTCCTCCTCCTCCTCCTCCTCCTCCTCCCCCTCCTCCTCCTCCTCCTCTCCTCCTCCTCCTCCTCCTCCTCCTCCTCCTCCTCCTCCTCCTCCTCCTCCTCCTCCTCCTCCTCGCTCCTCCTCCTCCTCCTCGCTCCTCCTCCTCCTCCTCCCTGAGCCTTTTGGGAGGGGGGATGGGGTCCGAGTAGATGGGGTCGGAGGGTCGCGCCGTATCGTCGATGCATCGGCGATGCGGCTCGGTGTGGAGCCCGATAGTCTCCACGCTGGCGTCGCCGATGCGTCGCCGACAAGGGCGGGGTACGACGTCTGCTGCATGCAGCACGTCTCGCCCCTCGATGCACTGGCGCCCTCGGCGCCAGGAGGCGACAGGAGGATCTGCTACGTGAGCTGATTCACTGCACCCCCTCTTCCGTCCGACCCGGCATGCGCCCAGTACAGTCGGGGCCCTGAAGAAGGAACCCTTTTCGTTGGGGAGGGGCTCCGTGTTCCTTAATTGTTTCGATAGGTTAGGTTGTCCTTAGATTTTCGATACGAAATCGAAGTTCAACTTATGGAAAATAGGGGCCTCGTTCCTTATTTCGGGTTCCTTAGGTCAACGCCTCGACTGTAGACTTAAGTCGGGCCTGTCCCTCTACAGGGGGAGTATTCAAAAATAATGCAAACCATAGCCTGGGGACCATTGTTTTTTACAATGTTTTTGGGCATCTTTTGAATCTTTGCTGAGTATGTTTCATTTTTCGCCCAAAATCCCCCTGTAATTAGACAGTAGTCCCTCCCCCCCCTGGCCGTGCACGTGCCTCGGGCCACGCCATGCGACCCCCCCGCATTCCTGGACCCCCTACCGGCCCCCTCCCGGCGCCGGCCCCCCGCGAGGTGTGCCTGCTGGACTCGCAGCGGCAGCCCGCGGTCTCGAGCGAGCTGCTAGCGTGGCTCAAGGCGCACGCGCTCACCGAGGCCCGGGCCAAGGCTCGGGCCGGGCGAGAGGGGGGGGGATTGGGAAAGGGGGGGTTACGAAATCTGCTGCGTGCAGCTGGTTTCGGCCCCACCGGGGGGCCCATTTCAAACAGGGCTAGGATCGGGATAAATCGCTCCAGAGCGTTCCGGAGCGCTCTCAGAGCGTTCTGGAACGCTCTGGAGCGGCCGCGGCGCCCAATACATCCTCCAAACCCGCCGATTCTCAGAGATTTCGAGTTATCCCGATCCGATTTTGTCCCGATCTTCGCGTCGTTTTACCATTCCTCGATACATGGCCGCTTCCGGCGCCGGGAGGCGCCGGGGAAATCAGCTATACGTGAGCTGATTCTCAACCCCCCCCTCTGCTATCCCCCCCTATCGCCCGACCCGACAGGCCGAGGCCGCGGCGGGGCTCACGCAGTCCTCCGTGCAGTTCGTGCTGTCCAAGGCCGACCGGGTCCCCCGCGAGTCCGACCGCGTCCGGCTGGTGGCGAAGGCTCCGCGGCGGGCGTGTCGAGACAACGGCAGGCGGCCCTCGAGGGGAGGGAGGTGGGGGGGGAGGCGGCCCATCGCCATGGCTGGACGCAGCTCGGAAAACGGGCGCGTTGGGACCCCAGGAGAGGGCCGGGGAGCGATGTTGGGCTGGCGCTGCCTCCGCCCGCCCTGCGCCGAGAGGCGTCGAAGCTGCTGGCCGAGCGCCTGGGCCGCGGCTTCGAGATCCTGCCCGTGGCCGCGGGAGACCTGCTGGCGCTGCTCGATGGCGTCGACGGGGGTGGAGGCCCCGGCGCTGGCGGAGTCGAGTCTCTGGAGGAGGGGGAGGGGCGGAGTGAGGGGCGAGGGGAGCGGGGAGCGGGCCCGACGAGAAGGGGGGATTGGGAAAGGGGGGGTACGAAATCTGCTGCGTGCAGCTGGTTTCGGCCCCACCGGGGGGCCCATTCCTCGATACATGGCCGCCTCCGGCGCCGGGAGGCGCCGGGGAAATCAGCTCCGTCAGCTGATTCTCAACCCCCCCCTTTACTATCCCCCCCTTTCGCCCGACCCGAGAGGAGAGGGTGGCAGACTTTGCGCTTGGTCTTCCAACATGGGGATCCATCACGCGGCTCCCCCTGAGGGTTCTCAGGGGCGCAGGCCGCACGAGAAGACGAAGAAGACGAATAATCCGAACAATAAGAAAACGAAGGCAAATATCAATAACTATCATCTGAGCTATGCTAAGAAGACGAAGGCGAAGCAGGCGAGGAATCATAAACATGCGAATGCTACGAATACTTACAATCGCACGTAAGAATGAGAAGACGAAGGCGAATTGTAAGAATAAGAAAAGGACGACAAATCATACGAATATTAATAATAAGCAGAAAAATCAGAAGACGAATCATAATAACAGTGCTCATACTGTAATTAATTATAATAATATCGAGGATAATAACATGAATGATAATAATACCATGGGAGGAGGAGGGAGGGGGGGGGCGAGGGCAGGCGAGGGCAGCGGAGGGCAGAGGGGTTGGGTGGGCAGGTGGACGGCTGCGTCTTCCAGCTGGCCGAGCCAAGCCAGGAGGCCCCAGGAGACGCCAAGAAGCTCGGGGCCGGGGCACTGCGGGCGCTGAGCGCGGCGCAGGCCTGCGCCGCGAGGCACGTCGGCGACGGCCTGGCCAACCTGCGCACCGACTGCGACGCGCTGTCCAGGGCGCTGGAGGCCGAGCTCGCGCGAGCCCGCGACCAGGTGAAGGCCGCCTCGGCCGCGCCCATCCGCGCCTCCCTGCTCAAGGTCGCGGCGGCCATGGTTATCACGGCGGCGCTGCTGCCCTTCGTGCTGGAGGACGACATCGAGCAGTGGGTGAAGCAGGCGTGCTCCGCGGGCGCCGGCGCCCTGGCCGTGCTGCTGGCGCTGCTGGCCCTGGTGCTCCCGGCGGGCGCCGCGGCCACGAAGGGCGGCGCGCCCTCCGCGCTCTCGCCGGAGGACGCGCGCTGCCGCGTGGGCGCGCTGCAGGAGAAGCAGCGCTTCCTCCGGCTGGCCGCTCGGCAGCACGCCCGCTGGGCGGGCGGCGCTCCGAGCGAGGCGGCCGCGGGCAGCGAGCTGGCTGGCGCGGGCCCCCGAGGCGCCGCCGGGGAGCCCACGGCGAGGCGCCGCGCAGCGGCCGCCGCTCACTGAGGCGTGCGCGGCGGCTCCTGCGCGGGCGCGCGGATGGCGCGGGCACGCGCTCCCAGGGTTCGGAGGTGGATAGACCTCCTACCCTGACACGTCGATTAAGGAATTGGCCGTTTTCGGTTCGCGAGAGGGCGTCGCGGCCGTCATTTTTGCGGGTCCAGGTCCGTCGGTTTCGGTCCCAGGCCGTTTTCACGAAGGGGAGGTTTACTATAGGGAGGTTTGTCCACCGCCGAAGGGTGCAGTTCGGGCGCGCATGCGGCTCGCGGTATCGAGAGCAGTGCCCCTGCCGCCCCTGCTGCTGCTGCTGCTGCTGCTGCTGCTGCTGCTGCTGCTGCTGCTGCTGCTGCTGCTGCTGCTGCTGCTGCTGCTGCTGCTGCTGCTCATCCCCCTGCCCTTGCCCCTTGCCATGTGGCCCTCCACCGTCCCACTTCTCCTCCCTCCTCGTCGTTCCCCCCTGGTCCTCCGGGACCTGCGCGACGTGCTCCCAATTATTCCCAGTCCTTCCCCTCCGCTCCTCCAGCCCTCCTCCTGGTCCGCGCTCCTCCTCATTCTGTTCCTTCTTCTTCTCCCTCCTCGCTTCTCGTCCTCTTACTCCTTTATCACCCTCCTCCCTCTCTTCCTCGCACCTTCCTCGCTCCCTCCTATGTCTGGGTCACCCCCAGGGGCGCGAAGGTAATCGCGCCTCGTGCGTCGCGACCAGAGCGGTTGTACTTCTCCGGGGGGGTGGCGCAAGGGGGCGAGGACGTGAATATATCCGCCCTCGTGCGTCGCGTCCAGAGCGGTTGCACTTCTCCGAGGGGGTGGCGCAAGGGAGCGAGGGCGTGAATAGATCCGCGCGTCGGTCGTGCATTGCGGGGCGCGATGCGAGAAATCAGGTAACCGAGTGTGTAGTCTCCCCCCCCTCTGGAGGCGGTGTCCTGGGGGTCGTCCTGTGTCGTCCTCTGCCGAGGTAGCTGCCACAGGCCACGGCACGCGTTGCAGGACTGGCTGCCCTCGTAGGCCTGTCAGGCATCCTGGGCCTGTTAGGCGCTGCAGGGCCTGCTGCCCTCGTGGGTGCCCTCTCGGGGCCCTCGCAACGAACTGGGCCCGCGTCTGCTGCATCCCGTGCCTCGCGTGCGGCTGCGCCTCGGCACGTGGCCTTGGCCTCCGCAGCCACCTTGAGGTGTGCGCCTCCGTGGTGCTCCACGCCGGGAGCGGCGCTGCGCCTGGTAGCGGCGTTCTCACTGGCCTCGCCGCAGACGGAGACAGCTCCGAAGGCGTAGGGGCCGAGGCTGTTGTGGTTTTGAGTGGTGTCGCCGATGACGCGCAGTTCGTCTTTGATCTTTTCTCGTGCTGGAGCGAACTTCTTCTCGTCCATCATCCTTCCACTGGTGTCGGTGTTGAACGCACGTTGCCCTGGTCGGGTCGGTTGGTCTAGTCCTCGCCCGATCAGCGTCCAGGCGGCACATTACTGTTCAGCTGGTGGTATTTGGGTTGGCGGCTTCGGTCCAGGTACAGGTCCCCATGGTGTTGTGGATAACCCTGGCGCCAATTACGGCTACAGTAATGCGGACCGGGCGCGGACTCCACGGCCTGGGCGCAATGCCTTGCCGTGGCGCGTTGCAAGGCGCCGCGCATGGGCGCTCCCCCCCCCCCGCGTCGAGAGGTAGCGCCTCCTCGTCCTCCGCCTCCTTCTCCTCATCGTTCTCCTCCTTTTCGCAATATTCGAAATCACCATCCTCATGATCATCTTCACATTCCTTCTCATAACACCTGTGTTACCCTACACCTCCTCCCTCTCAGGAAGCCCCAGCAACTTTGAAAGCTCAAGTCAAAATCCAGGGAACATCCGTAGAACCATTTTGGATCCACCGAAATCTCATACTGCTTGTGGACACGTCCGTCAGTTTCATCTCCCTCGTGCAAATTATCGTCATCCCCTCTTGGAAGCCCCCAGAGGTCCCAGGCCCACAGGCGGGCAACATCATTCCAACACCTTCCTCCATGCCATTGGGGCCCCCACACCGCCCGTGTGCCTTGTTGTGGTACGCGGGCCCTGGAGCCCTCGAGCCCTTCCCAGGGACCTTTACTGTATTTTGTCTCACCCTCGGGGGCGTCGAAGAGGGGGGTAATGACTAGGGGGTTGTGGATATCATGGCTGGGGCCATGATATCTTCCTGGATGTCATGGCCCCCTCTCTTCTTACGTCAGTGCGTCCCTCAGTCGCTCGCTCGTTCGCGCACCTGCTTCGAGTCATGGTTTGCGACGCCCCCTTCTGGACGCCTCCCTCCTGGACGCCCCCGACACTCGAGTGTCAATGGCCCCGGAGCACGGAAGCCGCCCCCGCGGAGTCCGAACGCGGCGGGTCAGTTTCCGCTCTGGTCTGTTCAAGACGTCGGAGAGGTGGGTCCTTCGCGGAGGGGGGAGGGGGGAGGAAGATGGAGGGAGAAGAGAGAGGGAGGGAGGGAGAGAAGGCGGGAGGGAGGGAGGGAGGGCGGGAGAGGAGCAGGAGCAGCAGGAGGAGAAGGAGGAGGAGGAGGAGAAGTCAGCAGGGGGTGGGAGGGACATGGAGGGAGGGAGGAGCAGGAGCAGGAGCAGGAGCAGGAGCAGGAGGAGGGAGGGACATGGAGGGAGGAGGAGGACCAGTGTAAACCCAAGTCACGTTAACGATGTTGCAGTAGACCCTTCCTCCAAGCATGCCCCTACAAGTTTGCCCCTTCCTCCAAGTTTCCCCTTTCGCATGCCCTTACAAGGATGTATCTTCATTGATGGAATCCATCGCGCCAAGGCACAAGGCACCGTTCCTGGGACTCCAACGCTGCGAATCAACGTGACCCTCGCGTCCTGACAGTCCCACGTCGTACCAGAACACCGTTCCTGGGATTCCAACATCATGAGTCAACGATATTGTTGCGTCCTTACAATCTTGAATCGTGCCAGAACGCGAAGAAACCGCTCTCCATCGTTGAAACTGTTGCGAACTTCTCAGACAAATGTGCGCGGCGCTGGGGCGAGAGCCACGATTTGAAAATGATTCGCTCTCTATCGTTGGAGCTGGTGCACACTTGTAACGCACATGCACGCGGCGCTAAAACGATGGCCACAGTTTGAAAGCCAACCGCCGTCCATGTTTCAAACTGTTGCAAAGTGTTCAAGCGAATGTGGGCTACGCCAAGGCGAGAGCCATATTTTGAACAAGAGCCGCCTCCCCTTCCTTGACACTGATGCGAACTTTCAAGATGAATGCGCGCTACTCAAGGCGACAGCCACATTCTGAAAACGAACCGCCCTCCATCCGTGAAACAGTCACAAATTTCAAGCTTCGTGATCATACATCGTGAGGAGGTCTCAGGCGAATCGCCCGGCCTGCCCCACCGACACGTCTGGGGGTGCGACAGGGAGGAGTTATTCATCAGGAATAAGGATGGAGTAGGATGAGGTACAGGAGGGGGAGGGAGAGGAGGAGGAGGAGAAGGAAGAGGAGGAGGAGGATGACCAGTGTAAGCCCAAGGCGGCCCAAGGCGCGCCAACGATGTTGCAATAAGCCCTCCCTCCCAGGACCCTCTCCCAAAGTCACCGAACAAATGTGGCTTCTTTGTGGGAATGCCTCTCTGGAGCAAACCGTTTGAGAATCCCCAATCGCACCGAACCAGCACTCCAGGGATTTCAACTCCGCGAATCAACCTGGCTGTTGCGCCCTGACAACCCTAATTCGTGCCGGAATTCCGTTCCTGGGACTTCGTTATTATATCCTAGGCGCTTTTTGAAGCATCGTTGACCATTCCCGGGATTTCATCCTTGACCGTTCTTGGGACTTCATCTTTCAATACACAAGGCGCCAAGGCGAGACCAGCTTTTTGAAAAGCAGCCGCCCTCCATCGTTGAAGCGGCTGCTAACTTTCAAGGCGAATGCGCGCGGCGCTGCGGCGAGAGTCACATGTTGAGAAGGACCAGCCCTCCATCGTTGAAACTGTTGCGAACTTTTCAGACGAATGTGCGCGGCGCTGGGGCGAGAGCTACATTTTGAAAAGGATTCGCCCTGCATCGCTGAAACGCGAATGTGCGCGGCGCTGCGGCGAGGGCCATGCTTTGAGAACGAGCCGCTGTCCATGCGCGAAGGTCAAGCTGCAGAATCAAACATTGCGGGGAGGTCTAAGGCGAAACACCCAGCCTACCCCACCGACACGTCTGGGGGTGCGACAGGGAAGAATTATTGGGAAGGCCTTAGTGCTGGTCTCGCCGACCCTGGAGGGGTGGGACAACCACAACCGCGGCGTCGGCAGCGATGACGACGCTGACGCGGGGCAGGGTCCTCAGTAATGCTTCGTGGGGCCTGTCCAGAGCGCTCTCGTATGCCTCTGGGGAGCAGTTTTGGGGCCTCTTGGGAGCATTTTGGCGGCCTCTTGGGAGTCTCTTGGGGGTCCCTTCGGGCTTCCTGGGGGCCTCTTGGGGGCCTCATGGAGGCCTCTTGGGGGCCTCCTCCTGGGGGCTTCTTGGGGCCTCCCAAGAGCTTCTCGGGGCCGAGGGCTCGAAATGTTCGTTCGGGCACCTGTGTGGGCTCCCTCTTGGAGCCGTTTTGGCGGCATCTTGGGCAGTCTGGGAGGCCTCCAGGGCCATCTTGGAAACCTCTTGGGGGCCCATTGTGCCGACCTTGGTGGCCTCTTGGGCCGTCTTGGGGCGTCGAGAAGCCGAAAGGGCGAGAATGCCAGAATCTTGGGGCCCTCTTGGTGAAGAAGTTGTTTACAAGAAGAAGGTATGGAGGAGGAGGAGGAGGAGGAGGAGGAGGAGGAGGAGGAGGAGGAGGAGGAGGAGGAGGGGGAGGGGGAGGGGGAGGAGGAGGAGGAGGAGAAGCCCCCCTCCCCCCTCCAGAGGCCGCCGCCCCTGCCGTGGTGTTGTGGGCCGCCAAGGGGGACAAGGCGCCCCGAACCTCCCTGGGCTGCTGGGCGGCGGCCCCCACTCGGGGCGCGGCGGGGCTTTCTTCCCGCCCAGTGCCCCCCACCCCGCCCCCCCGACCCACGCCGAACGCCGCGTGCCTCGCCGCTAACCCTCGAGGTCCTGGCGTCGCAAGTTTTCCGGGCTGGGCGATTGCGCCCAGTCGCGGGCCCTGGGACCCTCGCAGATCGATCCACTTCCAAGAATGCCACAGAACTATGGGGTCCAGGGCTCCTGTCGCGACTTTCCGTGATGTTGCATGCTTGTTCTCAGCGTCGGATCTCGGGGACCTCCCGCTCCATGCTCCCCCCCTTGCTCCGCGGTGGGCTCGGCAGGGCGCCTTCCTCTCTGACCGCTGACCCCCCACCTCATGCTTCGCCCCTCGCCGGGACGGCCACTGGCCGAAAGACTTGCCGATGTATGGTGCGGGGCTGCCCCCCCCCAATTCGAGGGTGGACAGACCTCCTACCCTGACACGTCGATTAAGGAATTGGCCGTTTTCGGCTCGCGAGAGGGCGTCGCAGCCGTCAGTTTTGCGGGGAGTCCAGGTTCGTCGGTTTCGGGCCCAGGCCGTTTTCACTAAGGGGAGGTCTACTAAAGGGAGGTTTGTCCACCGCCGACCAATGCAATTGGGATCGAGCCCCCCCCCCGCTGGATGGGCACGCCCGTAAGCCTCGCGAAAGCCTCGCGGATGGGATCGGTCCGCCCCTGTGGTCGTGGCCCCGTGGGCGTGGCGTGGTGGAGAAGTGCCGTTGCTCCCCCCCTGTGGGTGTGGGGTGGTTCGTCGCCGCCGTCGTCGTCGTCGCCGTCGTCGTCGTCGTCGTCGTCGTCGTCGTCGTCGTCGTCGTCGTCGTCGTCGTCGTCGTCAGCGTCCTCGTCGTCGTCGTCGTCGTCGTCGCCGTCGTTTTTCGTCGTCGTCGGCGTCGGGGCGTCGTCGTCATCGTCGTCGTCATCTTCCCCCCCATCCCATCTGGAGGGGGAGCGGCTTGTGGAAGCCTGAGACCCATCCCATCTGGGAGGGGGCTGTGAACCCTCGACCCGGCGTCGGCGTTGGCTTCGGCATCGACGTCGGCGTCGTCGTCGTCGTCTTCCGTCGGCGGCGTCCGCGTCGGCGTCTGCGTCTGCGTCGTCGTCGTCGTCGGCGGCGGCGGCGGCGGCGTCGTCGTCGGCGTCGACGTCGGCGTCGGCGTCGGCGTCGGCGTGTGCGTCGTCTCTGTCGTCGTCAGCGTTGGCGTTGTCGGCGTCGTCGTCCCCGCCCATCTGGGTAGGGAGTGGGGGGGAGCTGTGGAAGCCTGTGGCCCATCCCACCTGGGGGGGGCGGGGGGGGGGAGCTGCGAACCCTCGACCCAGGATCATACATCCCCGATTCCAGGTCGATGTTTACCCTCTGAGCCAGCCCCCCCCTCCCGTTCCCCCTCACAAGCCCTGGTGCCAGGGTCGCGTGCACTGCAGGCGCGGTGCTCTTTGTTCCCCTGGCAGGACGCGCGGCCCGAACGCCATCTTGCCCAACTTGCGGCGAGGGCGGCGGTGACCCGCACCGCGTGGCCAGGAATGGGGATGAGCTGTTCTGTTACGCGTCTGGCCGCTACTTCCGGTGACCATGGCAGTGACGAACACCGCAGTTGCCAGTTGGCCTGACGCTCGACGGCTGATTATACTGTGATGTTGTGATGTCCCACCGTCTCCTCTCTCCCTCCTCCTACGTCTCCAGTCCCTCCAGTCTGGCCCTTCTCCCTGCCTGCCTCCGTCCCTCCCACTTCCTCTCTTCCTCGCGGGCCTCGCCTCCCTCAGAGCTCCGAGCAGCGTCAGGCGGCAAGACCCAACCGTCGACCAAACTGTTGGGACGAAGCCCACGGCGAAACCCGCCCAGAGGCGCCCGCCGCTTCGGGGGGGGGGGTCGCCGACAGAGCGCACCCTGAGAGCGTGAGTGGCCGAAGATGGAGGTGCCTCCCTCCCTCTTGCCGCGTCTTAGATCGGCTACCAAGTGGGTGCCCATCAGTCGTTGATCGTATGTATTTTGGGCCCCCCGGGTCTGAATCTATCTTAGGCGCCTCCCTACTTCAGCAATCGTCGAGTGGCTCTCACTTTCCCATTTTCTTTCTGGGGCGGGCGCAAGCCCAACATACTTTCCACACCTCCCTGCTTCCTGTTTCTACCCGCTTCTTCCGACCGATTGGCCACTTGGATGATGCTTGGGCCGCTGCTCGTCACGAGCCCCCCTGCCGGTGCCTCGCCGCCCGCGGGCCCTTCTGCGCGAGGCCGCGGCCTCGCCCGCCCTGCCGCTGCTCGGAGGACCGGCGGCGGAGCCGCCGGGCCTGCATCCCTCCGAGAGATCGGTCCCCGGACCTGCCCCACAACCCTCGTCGAAACTGAACGCAAGTTTTTGTCCACCCCCGTCGCCCCCAGATTTCAATGTCCATCGACAGGCGCATCGCGGCCGGCGGCGTGAACATTGAAATGGGGGGTCGGGGGGCGCCGCCAGGTCGCGGCTAAAACTTGCGTTCAACGATGTTCACATTTTTCTTGCGACGTGTGTGTGTGTGTGTGTGTGTGTGTGTCTGTGTGTCTGTGTGTCTGTGTGTCTGTGTGTCTGTGTGTCTGTGTGTCTGTGTGTCTGTGTGTCTGTGTGTCTGTGTGTCTGTGTGTCTGTGTGTCTGTGTGTCTGTGTGTCTGTGTGTCCTGTGTGTCTGTGTGTCTGTGTGTCTGTGTGTCTGTGTGTCTGTGTGTCTGTGTGTCTGTGTGTCTGTGTGTCTGTGTGTCTGTGTGTCTGTGTGTCTGTGTGTCTGTGTGTGTGTGTCTGTGTGTGTCTGTGTGTGGTGGGTGGTTGGGGTGGGTGGGGTTGGGGGTTCGTCCTGGCCCGCTCTCTCCGAGGCGGCCCCACCGGCGGCGACGAGAGGCCCCCAGTCGGCCAGGCGTAGGAGTGGCCCTCCGCAGGAGCGACCTCTTTGGTGCGGGCGCGGATGGGCCCCCAGACGGCTGCAAACGAAGCAGTCGCAGCTGGCTGCGCGCCCAGGTGTGGGTCTCCCCGCGGCCGCCCCAAGGGTCGCGCACCAGAAAGGTCACTCCTATACCCAGGGCCACACTCGTGCGCATATAGCCGATCCAGGATGCCCGAAGGGGACGGACAACGCCGGGGAGGGCCGCCGTTGCCTGCCTCGACCTGGCCTGCCCCCGGGTCCGAGCACGGGGCCCAGGCAAGATCGCCCTGGCTGGGCGCGTCCCAGTCGAAGGGCCGCTCCCCCCGGCGGCTCGGCCCGCGCAGATCTCGGGGGCGGCCACGAGGGGGGGGGGGGTCTGGTGTATCGGGGGGGGAGGTCGCGGGCCGGGCGAAAGGGGGGGATTCGGAAAGGGGGGGTAACGATATTTGCTGCATGCAGCTGCCATGGTTTCGGCCTCACCGAGGGGCCCATTCCTCGATACAGAGCCGCCTCCGGCGCCGGGAGGCGCCATGAAAATCAGCCGGGGGGGTCTGGTGATTCGGGGGGGGATGTCGGAGGTGGATAGACCTCCTACCCTGACACGTCGATTGAGGAATTGGCCGTTCTCGGTTCGCGAGGGGGCGTCGCGGCCGTCACTTGTGCGGGTCCAGGTCCGTCGGTCTCGGTCCCGGGCCGTTTTCGCTAAGGGGAGGTGTACTAGAGGGAGGTCTGTCCACCGCCGAGGACGTCATGGCTGGGGCCACGATGCCTCCCCGGATTTCATGGCGCCTCTTCGTGTTTCGGTGCGGCCCTCGGCCCCCCCAATCGCCTGCGCACGAGCCCCGGGCCAGGGTTTGCGACCCCCCCCCTCTGGGACGCCCCCCTCCTGGATTCCCCCGAAGAGGTGCAGGTGTGGAGCAACTCCAAGGGCGGGTGGCTGGACGCCTTCGTCGAGGCGCCTCCCGCGCCACGGCTTTCCCTCCTTCCCCCCCCCGCCCCCGCGGTCGTCGTTGTCGTCGTCGTCGTCGTCGTCGTCGTCGTCGTCGTCGTCGTCGGTGGCGGCGGCGGCGTCGTCGCCGTCGCCGTCGCCGTCTCCGTCGGATGAGGAAGAGGACGACAACGACGACTACGACGACGAAGACGATCAAGACGGCAAGGAGGAGGAGGAGGATCAGGAGCAGGAGCAGGAGGAGGAGCAGAGAGGAGGGAGGCAGGAGAGCGGGAGAGGGATGGAAGAGGAGAATGGGGGGAATGGAGATATGTGTCTGGTGTTTGGGTCCTTGGAGATATTGTTGACGCTTCGCGAATCCCCACCGGCACATTCCAGAAACGATGCCCAGAGGAATTGCCTGGATCAGGGAAGTGGGCAGCACACAGAGGAAGCCATTATGAGACATCTTGGGATGTCTTGAGCCATCTTGGAGGTCATCTTGGGCTCTCCGAGGCGCTCTTGGAGTCAATTTAATCAGTGCTCCCCCCCAAGAGGCCAACATGTGGCTAAAACCTTCTTGAAATCAATGGTTTGGTATTCTCGCCGAGGCCTCTTGGAGCATCTTGGGTGCCTATGGGGGGTCTCTTGGGGCCTCTTGGGGGTCTCTTGGGGGCCTCCTTGGGGCCTCTTGGGGGCCTCTTGGGGACATCTTGGGGCCATCCTGGGAGCTTCTTGGGGCCTCCTGGGCGCTTCTTGGGGCCATCTTGGAGGAGATCGATCAAACAAGAGGGGAGCGCAATTAGGGTCCCCCCCCCAGGAGGCCAAAATGGAGCCAAAACCATAGTAAAATCAATGATGTTGGCTTCCTCGTCGAGGCCGTTTTGGACGCTCCGACGACTCGCGGAACCCCCTGTCCAGGCTGGTGGGGAGGGGGTAAGGGGAGGGGTAAACCCCTCCCCGAAGGGGAAGAAGGAGGGGTGGAAGAGGAAATTCCCTAAACCACCGACGTCCAGAGGGCTGCTGGGATGTGTGTGATTGCTAGGGAGCCCGGGGTGTTTTCCAGCAGCTCCGCCTCGTCGAGGACTTGACGGGAACGCTGCAGTCGTCACGCATTGTTTGACCCGATTTGCTGTTGATAAGCCCAGACCTCCAGCGTCCAGAAGCAGAAGGACTTGGCTTTTTGAGCTTTGGCACCGCGGCCGTGTTTCGGGTCCTGCCCCCCCCCCCATGACGAGACAAGCACCAACACACAGCGGAGCGAAGTCATGGGGAGCATTAAACAGGGAGGAGGGATGATGCAAGAGGATAAGCAGAAGGAGGAAAGAGGGTGGTGATCTGGAAGGGCACAGGGGGAAGAAGGAGGAGGACGAGGAGGAGGACGAGGAGGAGGAGGAGGAGGAGGAGAAGGAGGGGAGGAGGAGGAGGAGGAGGGGAGATTCATACGAGGAGGGGGGGCGACGGGGAAAGTGCACACGGAGTAGGGGTGCAGGCGGAGTGGAAGAGGGGCAGGCCTCCTGCTTTGCCTCCCCCCGCCCCTCCTCTCCTCTCACTTCGCCCCGTCTTGCTCCTCCCCTCCCCCCCTCCCCCTCCCCCTCATACAATCGATCCCTAGACCTATATTCCAGGGGGGGCGTCCTGGTTCCCTCCTCTCCCGGATGGGAGGGAGGGGTAGGGTGTCAGATGAGGCGCGAGCGCATTTAGCTTGTCTCCCTCCTTCTTTCTCCTCCCTCCACTGCCCTCCCCTCCCTTCTCCCTCCCTCTTGAAAATAAGCCCTTGGACCTACCTTCCAGGGGAGAGGGGGGGCGTTCTGGTCCCTCCCCCTCTCCTTCCTCCGCTGCCGTCCCTTGTTCCCCCCCCGCCCTCCCCTCAGCAATCGAGCTCTGGACGTCTATTCCGAGGGGGAGGGCGTCCCGGTTTGGACTTTGCAGGGGAGCCCACGGCCATGGCCGCGAGGGCCCCTTCACGAAGGCCCCCACAGATGTTTCTCTGAGCACCCTGGTCTAAATCGCGCCTCGAACCCCGATCTTCCTCCTCCCTCGATCCTCCTCCCCCCTCGAGCCTCAATCCTCCTCCTCCCTCGAACCTCGATCCTCTCTGTTTTCGAAGCTCGATCCTCCTCCGCCTCCTCTTCCTCCTCATCCTCCCCCTCCTTCTTCTTCTTATCCTTCTTCTTCGCATTCGTATTATTATTATTAGTATTATTATTATTATTATTAGTATGCTTCGTATTATTATTATTATTATTATTGTTGTTATTATTATTATTATTCCTCTTCTTCTCATCCCCCACAACGCCCCCTCCTGGAGGAGGCGAGCACAGCAGGCACGGCAGTGAAGGCACCGACCTGCCAGCACGTGCCACCACGGAATGTCATATCACCCGATCTGCTTTGGGGGGGCACAGAAGCCCTGGGGCACCTCAGGAAGCTCGCGAAGCTCGACGACACACGCACTCCCACATTCCTGATAGCAAGACGTCGTATCAGATGTGTCTGCTGTCGAGGAGCACGAGATGGTTCGCTGCGCGCGCGTGCCAGGAGGCCTTCGCCCAGACCTGCCGCTCCGAGGGCTACACCGTCCCAGCGGGGACGCTGAAGGCGCGACGGCCCGCCAGTTATCATGTGCGGCCGTGCTGTCGGCTCTGACCTCCTCCCCGTCCTCCCCGTTCGTGGTTGGGTATACTGCTGTGCATCTTCACCTGTCTGGGTTGGCCCACCAAGAGAGCAAGACCACCCGAACCCTTTCTCTCAGGAGGCCGCCCAAACATTGGCGCGGGCCGCCCTACATGCCGTCGAGCTGCCTCTGAGCAAAACATCTGCCGCAGGCGACCTCTGCGGCAACAGATGCGAAGAAGACCCTGCCCCCCTAGGCGCTCCAGCCTTCCCGTTCGTGGTCGTTCCTTCCAGCCCTCTCGGCTCCCCGGGCTTCCCTCGTCCTCTGCTGCGTCGTCCGGTTTCCCGCCCCCGCCGTCGGTCGCCCAGCTGTCGGCCTGGCTCTGTCGCTCGAGGCCCTCTCTCAGAGCAGGACGCTGATGACCAGGACTTCACAGACGTCCACCCGGAGAGAACACATCACGGAAGAGGTCTCGACCCACGGCTGCGGGTTCCCCCGGCGCAGAAGTTGCTTGGTAGGTAAAAATTCCCGGTAAGGGATGCCTTCAGTCGCTGTGCATTTCCACACACGCGCGCGCGCGCTCCTCTGAGCCGATAACCTCGTCCTCTGCGCTCGGGACAGTAACTCACCGCCCACCAAACCACCCCAACCCAACCCGAAGGCCCCGATTTGCCCTCCACTTCCAGTGGGGGGGGTCGGGGAACATAGGAAAAACACATATGAAGCCCGTACACCCCCCCCAACCCGAAATTCGGGTCTTCGGGTTGGGTTGGGGTGGTCTGGTAGGTAGTCAGTAACACCATCACCATCGTGATCATCGGCGTCGCTCGCACACACTGAACATGCATGGCCTCCGATTTTAAAATGAAAGGGAGCGCCATTATGTCTGGGATGGGAGTGGAGGCCCCCCGAAGCACGTAATGATTCAGTCTCTGTCGCAGGGCACCTTCCGCTTCTCCTTCGTAGATGAAGCGGTGGTTCTTGGGACCAGACTTGATAGGGATGGCGGGGTTACGAATTCAGATGACGCTTCGCGTATCCCCACCAGCCCATCCAGAAACGATGTCCAGGCAAGTTGAAGAGATTAGGGAAGTGGGGGAGCAACGAGATGGACAGCCGATCCGTGCAAAGGATGAGGCGGAAGAGGAGGCCAGATGGATAGATGAGGGGGTGGCGAGGAACCGAGCGAAGGAGGGATGAGGAGAATGATGACGCTGGGTGTATGGTTGAATGCCGCTCGGATGCCTCTTGGAAGCCTTTTGGAAGCCTCTTGGGGCGTCTTGGGGGTCTCTTGGCGGTCAATGGGGGCTCTTGGGCGTGTTGGGTGCTTCGGGGGGGCCTCTTGAGGCCGCTTGGGATCCTCTTGGGGGGCTCTTGGGGGCCCGTTGGAGGCCTCTTGGGGCCTCTTGGGGGTCTCTTGGAGCTTCATGGCGGCCTCTTGGAGCCTCTTGGAGGCCTCTTGGAACCATCCTGGGAGCCTCTTGGGGCCTCTTGGGGGCTTCTTGGGGCCTCATGGCGGCCTCTTGGGGCCTCTTGGAGGCCTCTTGGAAGCCTCTTGGGGCCTCCTGGGCGCCCTTTGGGGCCATCTTGGAAGCGATCGATCAAAGAAGAGGGTGGAGTCAAAATTACCTTGCCCCCCCAAGAGGCCAAAATGGGGCCAAAACCATAGTAAAACCTATGATTTCGGCTTCCTCGCCGAGGCCGTTTGGGACGCTCTAACTACCAGCGGCCCCCCCCCGTCCAAGTCCAGGGGAGGGGGTTAGGGGGAGGGGTAAACCCCTCCCCGAAGGGGAAAAAGGAGGTTGGAAGAGGAAACTCCCGGAACCACCTACGCCCAGAGGGCTGGTGGGATTCACACATGTTGCTGCAAGCTGAAGGGAACTTGGGCAAACTGCATCCGCATCTGGTGAACCCGAGGGCCAGCTGGGAAGCCAAGGCTCGGGCCTTCAGTCGTGGCCCAGTGGCCAGCGTACTATATGATTGCCAAACATGTATTGCGACACGGGCGCGTCTACAGCAATGCCGGGCTTGGGACAATAATGTCTTGCCTAAGGCATAAGTCGCTCATGCTTGAGCATCTTCCTCAAGAAGGCCTTCACGGTTAGACTGTTCGTATTGTTAGGTTTCTGGACGGCCTGCTCGCCACGTAGGGCATTCAGCATGTCCATCACCGTTGGTTGCGTCAGTGCCATCGTTGGCGGTATCGGTCGTTTCATTGGTCTTCGGGTCTGGATGCAGTCGGTCTGCTTGAGTATCCGCTTCGTGAACTAGCGTTCTTTCCGCCGTGGGGAGCACGCGGTGGGTTTGGCTGAGGCTCGTCATAGTCGTAGTGTTCGCGAGGACTCTGCTGGGGAGTTGAGATTTCGTCGTCCAGGGCCCCTGTGGCCCAAGTGGAAGACTTTTGAGACAAGTATTTCAAGGAATGGGAGGGGCAGAGGAAGGCCAGGACTACGGCTTGAAAACCTACGGAGAACCAGTTCGTAAACAGCGCGTGCATCTCGTGGCACCTCCCGCGTTGGCACCGTGAGTTGGCTCGCCAGGGGGACGCCGCTCGCCGGATGCCAGTGGGGGGGGGGGGGGGCCAGCAGACCTCGCCGATCCAAAAGAAAGCGTGACCACGGCCATTCCGGCACCGTTGTTCGAAGAAGGAGCCGCCCATGGCCAGCTGAACCGACAGTGGTGGAGGTGGCCCTCGACCCAGAAGATCGAAGGATTGCAACAAAAACCCGTCGAAGGGTTTTTTTGCAATCCTTCGTCGAAGGGTTTTTTTGCAATCCTTCGGTTTTTTTTCAATCCTTCGTTCGAATGAAAAAACAGGTTTTTTGATAGAAGCGCTTCGCACTGGCCTTCTGGCAGGACGTTTCCAGCGCTTGACCTCTCGCCTCTTTGCATGTGGCTGCTCCGGGGCCCCGCCTCAAGGAACGATCCACTTCGTTGAGTGCGTTGTTGATACAGACCCTTATGGTCCGGGCCTTGAACGGATCTTCTGTCTGCAGGCTTGGGCACATCGATGTGTTGCCCCCGACTGCAGATGTGTTGCTGCATGCGTTTATGAGCGAGCGGAGGGCTCCTCAGTTTGGTGACCTGCCGCTGATATGTAGGCGTCGGGGACTGAATGCCGAATCTGATGTGCTGTGCCATCTCGCCATGGACAGCCAGACGTATTTTATCTGCCTCAGTCCTTCTTGGTCCTCCCTCATGGGTAACCCCCCATCACTGTTTCGTGCACTCAAATGGTGGATGGCAGAAGCGTGGCCAGGCGTGGATCGGCTTTGTGCTTCGAGTTCGCACGGCCGCGGACTCGTCGTTGCAGCCGTTGGCGTTCGGCTGCTTGTGGCGGCCGTTCCTAGCAGACACTTGGGGAGCAGATGTGAAGGCACCGCGCACAGTGCACAATTCCCGTATTATGCTCTGTCTTGCCCGACCTTTAGTTCAAGTTTAATATAGCGCAGTTGGGTAGTATGTTTCATTGTTGTTATACAATGACAATGTGTGCGGGCGGAACGCCTGCGCTAGGTTCCGGAGCAGGCTAACACACTACGGGTAAAGCATATCTTAAGGCACAACTGGTTCGACATAATATACTTATCCTGGTATCCAGCTCTGGCCCAAAACAGTGTTTCTATGCGGCCCAATCTATGTGATTGAATATGTGTTGTGCCACCGATGTGTCGTGCAATGCTGTTAGTGCAAACTCTGTGGTGCAGTACGTGTGTCTCAATACCAGTTGCGCAATCTGTGTGTTGAGCAATCATTGTGGAGCACACCATGTGGTGCAATCTGCGTTGTGCAACTTACGCGTGGTGCAAGCTACGTAGTACAACCTAGGCGGTGCCGTTTATGTGATGCCATAGGTTTTGTATAAACGAGTTGGCAACTTCCATGATCTTGCAAACCTCCCACCCATCCACCCGCAACTTGGCTTGCAAAACCCATGCGGCGGCGATTACGATGCGTGCTTGGCGTTGGCAGGTGCATCTTTGCTGCCGCGCTAGCCCGCGCATGCTCGCGCGCACCGCGGCCAGTTATCCGGCGCGACCGACGCGGCCGCGGTGGCGTTGACCGCTGAGCACATCCCAGCAGGCACGTCATTGCGAAACGGTGTCTTGGGCGGGCGCGGTATCATGCCTACGCCGACAACGGTAGACGCGATTATGAGAGGACCGATGATGGTAGCGATGGTGGCGATGACGACGGCAAGGCCAATGACGGCGCCGATGTGTATCACGCCCGCCAGTAACGACGACAATGTCTTTGCGTCGGTGATGAAGGTTTCGAAGGAGTTCGACATGCGCGCGCGGCCGACGCACGCGAGTGGCCTGCTTGGTGTTATTTGACACGAATCGCGCCCCCCCCCCCAAGCACGCGCGCAAGGGCGTTCGAATGAGTTGGACATGCGGCGCGAGAGGCCCATGTGGCAGAATTTGATGAACATGTTTAACAGTTCGTTCAAGAATATGCAAAAACATTGGCGCGGTTTTTTGTTTGAAAGCGGGTGTTGCAACACCCTTCGTTTTTATATGTTTTGGGGCCAATCGTTTGTTGACACAATTTCCGGGCCTAACGATTTTGACGGATTTCGGCGTGCGCGCGCGACGACTCGCGCGCGTGCGCGTCGTCCCGTCTGTTGCAACGGAGTCTTGCGACGGCGCTCGCGCAAGGGCGTTCGAGGGATTTTTACGTGCGCGCGCGCGAAGAGGTCCGTTTGCCAGTTTGTTACGAACATGTTGGGACACATGTGTGGTTTTCTTAGGAAATCGCAAAGGCGCGGGTGCAGATTTTTTTGTTTGCGAAAAATGATGTTGAACAACGATGTGTTTGGATTTGCTTTCGAGACACTCGGTTTTGAAATCCGTACGCAACCGAAGCTTTTTATTTCGAAAAAGCGGCATGCGCGGGACGACGCGCGCATGTGCATGTGTTTTTTTGGATGGCAAGGGATTGTTGGGAACTGCTAGCTTTTGATAAACGAGTGCGCGCGCACAGTATTTTTTGCAGTGGGGATGGGAGAGGGGGGGTCGGTGCCAGCCTGCCTGGGATGATATGAATTCATACTTCGCATGGGCGATGGGGCAGAACCAGACGCATATTGAAATAAGAGAAGGTGTACCCTTAGCCCCAGGGGGTGTGGGGGGAAGTAGATTCGACTGCTCTCTTGGATAAGAGAATATACGTGGTGCAGTTTAGGTGGCGCATTTTATGCTGGATACTTTATGGGCTGCTATCTACGTAGTACAACTTAGACGGTACCTACGTAGTGCAGCCTACATGGTGCACTCCACCCTGCCGAACTTGAGCTTGTCGGGCCCATCCTTCGCCCAATCATCCCACTCACCCACCCGCAACTTGGTCTGCAAAAGACCGAGGCGGCGGCGATTGTGATGACTGTTTGGCGCTGGCTGGCGCATCGCCACGGCCGCGCTGGAGCGCGCAGGCTCGCGCGCAGAGCGGCCGGCTAGTCAGGCGCGACGAACGTGGCCGCGGTGGCGCTGACAGGTGGGCACTTCCAGCGCGTCTCGCAGGCCGCGCTGACGCCCAGGCACTTCAATGCGAGTCGGTGGCTCGGGCATGCGCCGTATCGTGGCGACGTCGATAACGGTTGACACGATGATGCTAGTAACGATGTTGGTGGCGACGATGATAGTGACGACGGCGAGGCCAATGACGGTGCCGATGCTGACCACGCCGATGACGGAGATGGTGTCCACGTGTCAGTGAAAATGTTTTGCCAGGATTTCGACATGCGCACGCAGCCGGCGGGCGCAAACGGCCCGCATGATATTCGACAGGGCCCCCCCACCCAGCATGCGCGCAAAGGCGTTCCAATTATTTGGACCTGCTCGCGCGAGAGGCCCGATTGGTCGCATGGGATGAAAAGCTTTGAAATTCAATGTACCGATAGAAGAGATAAGCAGAGAGAGAAACATCACGTATATATACACATAGAGAGAGATAGAGAATGACAAAAAGAGAAAGAGATAAAATAAAGAAAGATATCCAACACAAACGAGCAGAGAAGGAAGTTGCAGGAGCGCACATTGGCATTTTTATTTATATTGTCCAAATCATACGTTTGTTGCATGTTTCGGGCCAGTCGGTTCGGACACCCCTGCGGCACCTACGTTGCTTGAGCGATTTCAGCACGGGCGCGCCACGCAGGCGCGTCTACAATTCGTTGCATGCTTGCGCGGCGGATTCTTGCACATGGGTGATGTTTGATTCGCGTGCGCGCATGTACATTATATCGCTTGAGTTCGATGGCGGGGGCCCCAAGCCATTCAGGAGGATATGAGTTCCTATGTCGAATGAGCCTTGGGGCAGAATCCTGTGTAAATTGCACACCCACGGGGCGCGGAAAACCTCTGCACCTGGGGGGGGGGGTAAATCGTTTCCTTCAAGAAATGAAAATCAATGTTTCGCGCGGCGACGAGGCGGCGAAGGGGCGGTGACGACGGCAACGTAACCGCCAGACCCGCAAACAAACCCAAACGACGGGCGGAGCGACGGGGCGGGGAGACGGCGGCAAAATAGCGGCAACGGGGCGGCGACGGGGCGGCAACGGCGGTTACATAGCTGCCAGAGCGACACACCAGCCCAGTTCCATAGAAGTGCAGTAAGAAACCCTACGTGCAAACATTGTTTGGGGAATGCATTCGAACATTCGAAATAAAACCGCATGGATTTCAGTTCAAGCGATCGCACGGCCTCGCCCGCGCGCGTCCCCTTCCCGGCGAGGCGCAGCTACGGGATGTCGGGGCCTAGAGGGGTTCCCTCGGCCGTCGGCGCCTCTCCCGTGGAGGCCGCCGTTCGGGCCGCAGTTCCGGCTGGGGCGCCGCGCCGCACGGTTGCGGCCGTCACGATGTGGCCATTTCCGCCACGCTCTTCGCGTGCGGGGAGCGGCCGCCGCGGACGGCCGCGGCCGAAAGCCTACTGGTGCGGTTGCCCCCGACGACGACGCGCCGCTTGCTGCGCGGCCTGCCGCTGCGGCGGCGCGGACGGCGCGGCGGCGGCGTCGACGCCAAGCCTTCGCTGTTAGGCGAGCGGCGGAAGCGTCCCCCGCTGCGGCGGATGGTGGAGGAGGCGCTGATGTTGGCAGTGCGGGCAGGGGCCTCAATGCTCGTGCAGGTGCCGCTGGAGGAGGGGCCCGCTGCCAGGGAGGAGGTGTCGGACGTGCTGGACGACGAGTGGGCCGATTCGGCCCCCATGCAGCTCGAGCGGCCCCGGCTCAGGGTGGCGGCTGGTCGGCCACCGCGGAGTCGGCGGCAGACCCGTCCCTCCGGCTCTTTGTGGTGGAGATCAAGGCGAGGACCGACTTGAAGAAGAGGGCGGCGGCGATCGTCGTTCTCGGACGTTAGTGTGGTCGGGGGGCGATGCGCGCCCCCCCCCCCTCGTTGCGAGCCCCCCCCCAAAAAAAAACGCCTGCGTCTGCCCGAGCATGTCCGAGTTGGTCGACGGCCGCTCGGCTAGCTGCCCAGTGCGCGCGCGGGTTGGTACCCCAGACGCCGGGAGTTGCGGGCGCTCCCCGTTCTTGGTCGTCTCCCTCTTCCCTCTGGGGATTCACGCCTGTTTTGCTGTGCCTTGCGGGGGACGGAACGTCAGGGGATCCAGGTTTGCTTCGTCGGGCGGCGTCTTGCGCCAAAAGATGCGCGGCGCGCGGGCAAACGCAACCACGCGCACAATCGACCGAGGTGCCAAGAATTATTGCTTGGACGTGTTGGTCTTTTCGGGGCTCCTGAAGAGCTCCGCGGGCCTTGATCCCGAGTTCCTCAGATCCGCGCGCTGTGGCAAGAAATGCCGATGAGTCCTCTTCGGATGAAGGGACAGACGGGATCGGAAAGTCCAGCCGTGATGATTTCACGACGTCGTGTTTTCCCATGTTGGATCTCAGGGTAGCTACGGGGGGGCTTACATCCCAGCGGCGAGCTCGTTGCTGCCATCTGGGTGCATCAGGCAACTGCTGCAGGGGAGGACGACCGGATGAAAGAAGAAATCGATCGGCGGCGGGCGCGGGGGGGAAATGAGAAGGGGCGGGACTTCCGAGGCTTCTGAGAAGTTTCTGGACTTCTGAGAGGGTTTCTCAGAAGTTCTGTCTGTAGTCGAAATAGGCCAAGGAAACGTCTCAGAAGCCTCCTGGACTTCTAAGAAGTCCCGCGGCCTTCTGACAAGGCCTTCTCCTTCTCATTTCCCCCCCGGGCTCGTCGCCTAATCGAGGATCGGGGGTCGAGGGTCGACGCGCCTCGGCTTTCTGAGCCCACGGCGGGTTTCCGGGCGCTCCCCGGGACACCTCCACCTAGGAAGAAGTGGCGTTAGCGCGCATGGGAGGAAGAGGAGGAGGAGGGCGGAGGAGGAGGAGGAGGAGGAGGAGGAGCAGCAGCAGCAGCAGGAGCAGGAGGAGGAGGAGGAGGAGGAGGAGGAGGAGGAGGGCGAGGGTGCCCTTTTGTCGCATGGCTTCCGGGGGGGCGCGCGGGCGCGGCGGAGGGGGGCGCGCCCGAGCGCGCAGGCCGTTTTGCAGCGCCGCCTTGCCCAGGGGCCGCTTCTCGCGTGTGGCCGCTGGATCGGAAACAGCAGAAGGCGTGTCCATCCTGAAACATTCGATGTTTCGATTTTCGGCACGGGGTTTCCAGGGCCCGCGTTTTCATCCCGGCTCGTCTGTTGATGTTCCCGTGGCCTGGCAGGGCACCCAGGAGGCCGCAGTCGCATTTTCTCCGCGAGGCGAGCATGTTTGGGCCACCGCGGGACCCACCCCGGGCGACGATGCTGCCAGGCACCTCTCGACCCCCCCCCCCCCAGGCCGGGAGCTGGGAGCCGACAGGCCACCACGGTGCAACAGCAGATGTTCGGTTTTGTCGTCGCTGGGCATTCGCGCCCCCGCGGACTTAAGCTGAGCGCGGCGGCGGGAATCGGCAGCGAGCCCCGCGCTGATGATGATCATGATCCTGATCGATCATGATCATGATCATGGTCATGACGATGATGCGGATGATGTTGATGATGATTAGGATGATTATGATGATGATGATGGCAGTGGTGATGGTGATGGTGATGATGATTATGTTGGTGGTGATGTTGAGGCTGGTGGTGTTGATGGGGATGATGGGGATGGTGATGCTGATAATGCTGGAAAAGATGAAGACGATAGCGATGGCGATGGTGCTGACGATTGTTATGGTGATGATGCTGATGGTGGTGATGGCGATGGTGGTGATCATGATGGTGGTGGTGATGGAAATGGTGATGTGGACGATTGTGGCGGTGGTGACGGTGATGGTGGTGGCGATGATGATGCTGATGATGCGCATGACGATGGCGATGACGACGGCGACGACGATGATGACGACGATGACGATGATATGACGACGATGCTGCTGATGATGGCGATGACGACGACGGCGACGATGATGATGATGATGGTCATGATGATGATGATGATGATGATGATGCTGATCGTCGTCGCCGCCGTCGTCGCCATCATCATCATCATCAGCATCACCATTGTCACCATCATCAGCATCATCATCAACATGACGACCGGTACGCGTCATGAGTCACAGAGGTGAGGGCGCAGTTCGACAATTTGGTTCCCAAGTCTCCAACAGAACGTGGCAGAACATGCCCTCAATCGAGTCGCCGTGTGCTTGGTATCTTGGGGCGTCCAGTTTCTTGAAAGTGAGAGAGAAAGAGAGAGAGAGAGAGAAAGAAAGAAAGAAAGAGAGAGAGAGAGAGAGAGAGAGCGAGAGAGAGAGAGCGAGAAAGAGAGAGGGAGAGAGACAGAGGGAGAGGACGGAGAAACAAAGGAAACAGGATTAGCGTAAATGTTCGGGGGTCCGCGCGGGTTGCTTGGGTCGTCGGTGGATCCCCTTCCCCTAGCGCTCGAAGCGCGCCAGGGGCGGCGCCAGGGATTGCAACATCTCAAGAGTGACTTCAGAGGTTCCAGCTTGCCCGAAGGAGAAATATAGACACAGAGCATGGTGACGTCCTTTATGGAGGTGGCTACTATCATTGCGACAGCTCTGTCTGCAACGGCCGCGTCCTCTGTCCAAGCAACAAACGCAACAGAAGAAGGACACATACATATTTCGTGTTGATGGGAACGGGCACCCCTCTATACGTGTTAGAATGTTTACCGCACCCTGCGACGATCCTGCAGAAGCCCCCCACATACCAGAACGTAGATGATGGTTACCATGATTCTTCTCGTGTGTCTAGTAAGCGTACAGACGTTGCCCACGGCAAGGTACGTGGCACTGCTGTGGTTCTGTAAGCCATCCCACCCAATCCAGCCTGAGTGGAGATGGCCACGGAGGAGGAGGAGGCAGAGGAGGAGGAGGAGGAGGAGGATCGAGGAGGAGGACGAGAACGACGTGGAGAAGGTGGGTGAGGACGAGGATGAGGCGAAGGCTGAGGACGAGGATGAGGACGACGACGACGACGACGTCGACGATGATGACCAGGAGCGTCCCGCTCCCGAGGTGCGATCGTCGGCCGGCGTGAAGTGGGCGGCCCGCCTAGCGTCCAGCGCCGACACCTCCACCGCTGCTGCTCGGAGATGCCAGGAGGTTGCGGCGGAATGCATGAGATGCGAGAAAACAGGAAGAGGAGGAGAAATAATTTGAGAGTAGGAGGAGGAGGAGGAGGAGGAGGAGGAGGAGAAGGAGGAGGAGGAGGAGGAGGGGAAGGAGGGAGAAGGGGAAGGGAGGAGTAGGAAAAAGGGAGGAGGAGGAGGAGGAGGAGGGAAGAGGAGGAGGGGAGGAGGGGAGGAGGAGAGAACGATGAGGAGGAGGGAGGAGGATTGAGGAGGAGGAGGAGGAGGAGGAGGAGGAGGAGGAGGAGGAGGAGGAGGAGGAGGAGGAGGAGGAGGAGGAGGGTGGGGGCTTGAAGTAATGTGGCTCCGGGGCGGCTTGCGGTCGGGAACTTTGTTTGGGAAAGCGTGTCGCTCCGCAGGTTCTTTCCCACCACGCTTAGGCAAGACACGCTGCCCACGTCCCAGCCCTGAGGCGTCAACGTACCGAGTTTTCCCAAGTCTCCCGCCCCGCGCAGCGGAGCGACACGCTATCCGTTTGACAGGCATGGCGTGTCGTTGGGGCCACCGCCGCGACACGCTATCCAAAAATTCCGGACCGCAGCCCCGTGAGTGGCCCCAGCTTCGTGGTGTCACCAGCCTCGAAGACACAGTGGGCGCAGTTCTTCATCGTGGCTGACAGTTAAAGGTCAGGGCAAGCATCGGGCCGGGCGAAAGGGGGGGATTGGGAAAGGGGGGTGATTCTCAAACCCCTGTTTGCTATCCCCCCCCTTTCGCCCGACCCGAAAGCATAGGGCGACGCGAGGGCGTGCCGTGGGGGCTTCCCAGAGGCGCCGCTGGTTTCGTCCACCTGCCGCGCCCTGCCTCACGACTGGAACCTAGTGCTCACCGGGGTCACGTGGTAACGGAGGGCGGCATTTGCAGCCCTCTACTTCTCTCGGGGGTGGACAAAACCCCCAACAGTGACACGTCGATTAGTGAATTGTCCGTTTTCGGTTCTCGAGAGGGCGCCGCGGCCGCTATTTTCCAGGCTTGCGCCCGCCAGGTTTGGGCCTCAGGTCGTTTTCACTAAACCACGTTTTACTAAAGGGGGTATGTCCATCCCCGACTCTCAAGCCTGACCGTGGAAAAGACTCCAGAAATCCCCCAGGCTTCCCCGAGGCACCCCAAAGCGGGTGGAGTCTGGCCGAGCGCTCCCACGTATTGCTGGCCGTTGGGCTTGCGAACTCCGTAGCTCGTCGCTCGTGCTGGGGGGAGCGCGCCTGCCACGGCAGCACGGCCGGCTCTGGGCCACCAGGGCAGACCAAGACATTCGCATGACGCACGGGAGACCGCGTACAACATAGCATCGGTCTGCTCGCCAACATTTGCGCCATCTCTTTCGATTCGCCCACCTGCTCTCGGCATCATTCACTGATCAGGCATGCCCCCTGGGCGAGGCTCTGTCTGGCGTGAGCACCGGGCGGCTCGCGCCGGACTGCGTCGCTCTCCTGAGCGGCCCGCCGACGGGCCTCGCTCCCATCGGCCCCGTGGTGGGTGCGGTGTCGGTCGTGAGTGCCAGGCGGCTCGCGCTGGAGGGCGCCGTCCTGACGAGCAGCCTCACGAGGTGGCATACAGTCGGGGTGCTGAAGAAGGAGCCCTTCTCGTTGGGGAGGAGCTCCGTGTTCCTTCACTGTTTTACTGCTTGCCTGAGGTTGTCCTTAGGTTTTCGATGGGACATCGAAGTTCGACTTATGGAAAAAAGGGGCCCCGTTCCTTATTT